CAACATATGGTAAAAATCCTACCCTAAGTATAGGCACCAATAATACCTGGATCCTGATCATCTCTGTCTCAGCTTACTGATAAGCAGAGGTCCCACGCTGGGAGAGGCAAGCAGAGAAGACCAGGAGCTACCACCCTCCCCTTCTAGCATCTGTTCAGGATATCACTCTGGGAGAAAAAGACCATTATCACTGTGCCTAGTTCCTAGGAAGCAGTGAGGTTCTCCTATCAGGCAAGCAAAGAAAAAGAAGAGTTTTGCAGTTCTTACCCAGGACAGTGACTGTATTTGGAGTAGAACATAGAGAATTCCATGCATAAGGATGTTGTTGAAAACAATGGAGGGCTTGGTAGAAAACAATTAAAAGAGTGCCAGAAGCTGCATGATACTGCTAAGTACCAAGCAATCCAAAATTTAACAGAAAGAAACAAGAAAAGAAACAACCAAGAAAAGCCCTCTTGGGGTGACAATAAACCCTGGTGATTGGAAAAGCTATGCCTATGTTCCTATTCAGGAATAATCAAAATAGGACATGGGGCAGACTGAAAACCTTTTCCAAGCTGCAGACAGTTCCATCAACAAAAGGCAGAGGTTTCACTGGCATAAAAGGCTTATGCACACTCTGACCAAACACAATCTGAAAAACACGCTATTCCGATACAGAGGAAAATCTTGTTAAGCAAGATAATAATAAAATCACCTGGATCCTAGCAACTTGGAAGAGGATGTGCATGCCCAAGTTTGTATCCTCTCAAGGTTGATGGTAGAGAGAACCTCCAAGCTATTAGGCTGTAGCTGAACTTGAGGCAAAAAAAAAAAACTCCTTAAGTTTTAATAACAGCCCCCAAGTCACATGTACATCCAACAGTAAAGGGGGAAAATATAACTGACTAATGACATCTGTGCACAACCTTTGACCAATAATTGGTTTATGGGGATCCAAGGCTGACTCCTTGTGAGCCAGACTAAAAGTTAAAAAAGGAGGGAAAAAAAAAAAGCACTATAAACAGGGACATCAGAATATGTACACTGTAAGAGAAACAGACTTCACAGAGTTAGTACAACCAAATCATTAAACAAATAAAGGGCAAACAACAAAAACACCACCAACCTTCAGTGGGCAAGAGAGAGAAAGGGAAAATCAGTACTGAGAGTTGCTAGAATATATTATTTTAAATGTTCAGTTTTTAACAACAACAAAAAAAGTGATGAGACATGAAAAGAAATAGTAATGTGTGACTGATACATAGGATAAAAAGCAGATAGAAACTGCCTTTGAGGAGGCCCAGTTGTAGGATATATAAGAAAAAAACTTCAAAGCAGCTTTTATAAATATGTTCAAGGAACTAAAGGAAAGCATACTTAAAGAATTAAAGAAAAGAATGATGACAATGTCTTAGCAAATAAAGAATAACAATAGCACTGGGTGCTATACATAAACAATGAATCTTGGAACACTACATAACATAATATAATAAAAAAGAATATCAATAAAGAGATAAAAATTACAGGAAAAATTCTGGAGCTGAAAATTATAACTGAAAAGAAAAATTCAGTAAAGGGTTCAACAGTGTATTTAAACTAACAAAATAATTAATCAGTGAACTTGATACTAGACTGATACAGGTTATATAACCTAAAGAATATAGAGGGAAAAGGAGGGGAAGAAAAATGAGCAGAACCTCAGAATAATATGGGACACCATTAACTGTACCCACATACTCACAGTGGAAGGACCAGAAGAGCAAAAATAGGTAGAAAAATCTTCATAGAAATAATAGCTGAAAACTTCCCAAATTGATAAAAAACACTGACACATCCATGAAGCTCAACAACCTCCAAGCAAGAAAAAAGCAAGGAGACTGACACCTAGATACATCATAATCAAAATGATGAAAACCACAAATAAAATCAGTAAAAGCAAAATGACTCACATACAAGGAATCCCAATAATATTAACAAGTGACTTCTCATCAGAAATAGCAAAGACCAAAGGATAATGGATGACAAATTCAAAGTGCTGAAAGTAAAAAACTATTAACCAAGAATCTTACATCCAGTAGAACTATGCTTCTAAAATGAAAATTAAATAAATAAATAAGAATGGATAAAAGGTTGGAGAATTTTCTGTTAACAGACTTGCTTTGGGGAAAAAAGCAAAAACAAAAACAACAACAACAAAAAAACTGAAGGGAATTCTTCAGGCTGAAAGCAAGTGACACCAAAGAGTAATTTGGATCCTTACTGTAAAAAGCCATATGCCAACAAACTATACAATTTAGGCAAAATAAATAAATTCTTAGACACAAACTACTAAAACTGACTTGAAAACAGATAATATGAATAGATTTTTAACAAGGAAAGATATTAAATTAATAATTAACAATCTTCCTACAAAGAAAATCCCAGGACCAGATGGCTTTTGAATTCTACCAAAAACTTAAAGAATTAATACCAATCCCTCACAAATTCCTCCAAAGAATAGAAGACCAGGTAGTACTTTCCAACCAATTATTTGAGTATAGAATTAACCTTGATACCAAACCAGATGAAGACATCACACACACACAAAATAAAACTACAGACCAATATCCCTTACGAGTATAGATGTAAAACTACTCAACATAATACTGGCAAAATGAATTCAGTAATATATAAAAAAGATTATACGTTATAACCAAGTGGAATTTAACCCAGGAATGCAAAGTTGGTTTAACGTCTGAAAGTCAATTAATGTAATACACCCAATTCAATGAAGAAAGGATTGCCTTTTCAATAGATGACACTGAGACAACTGAATGACCACCTGCAAAGGGATGAAGATTGGACTACTACCTGACCACATATAAAAATTAATTCACAGATATAACTGTAAGAGCTAAAATTATAAAACTCGTAGAAGAAAATATAGGAATAAATCTTCGTGACCTTGGTTTAGGCAAAGGTTTCTTAGCTATAACACAAAAAGCACTAGCAACAACAAAAAATTTTAGGTAAGTTGTGCTAAATCAAAAGTAAAAACTTTTCTTTTAAAAGATTTTATTTATTTACTTCACAGACAGAGATCACAAGTAGGCAGAGAGGCAGGCAGAGAGAGAGAGAGGAGGAAGCAGGCTCTCTGCTGAGCAGAAAGCCCGATGTGGGGCTCGATTCCAGGATCCTGAGATCATGACCTGAGCCAAAGGCAGAGGCTTTAACCCACTGAGCTACCCAGGTGCCCCTCAAAAGTAAAAACTTTTCTGCAGCAATATTACCATCAATTACCATTACATTAATAAATCACACATCTAATAAGTGACCTGTATCCAGAATACACAAAGACTTTTTACAACTCAATAATAACAGCATAATTAAGAATTGGGCAAAGGACTTAAATATTTCTCCTAAGGAGATACACAACTGGCCAATAAGAACATGGAAAGATGATCAACATCATTAATCATTAAGGAAATGGAAATCATAGCCACAGTGAGATATCCCTTTGCACCCATTAGGGTAGCCATAACCAAAAGGACAGACAATAACAAGCACTGAGAAGTATGTGTAAAAACTGGAATACATTCATGGAAATGTAAATTGGTATAGTCACTTTTGAAAAGAGTATGGCAGTTCCTCAAAAAGTTAATTGTAGAGTTACTATATGACCCAGCAATTCCGCTCATAGGTATATATCCAAGAGAAATAAAAATGTATATCCTACAAAAACTTATGCATGAAGGTTTTTAGCAGCATTATTCATAATGTCCAAAAGATAAGAAAAAACAAGTGTCTATCAACTGACGAATGGATAAAATGTGGTATATTCATAAAATGGAATATCACTCAACAATAAAGAAGAATTAATAAGTGATTGACACTACAACATGGATAAACCTGGAAAACACTGCACTACATGAAAAAACCCAGTCACAAAAGAACACACAGTATATTATTCTGTTCATGTGAAATACTTATAATAGGCAATTCATAAAGATAGAAAGAAAATTAGTGGTTGCCTTGGGCTTAGGAGGGAGGTAAGGGAGGGATGCAAAGTAACTGCTAATGAATATGAAGTTTCTTTTCAGGGTGATGAAAATGTTCTACAATTAGACAGTAGCTGTAGTAAGACAATTCTGTGAATATACTAAAAACCATTGAACTGTAGATTTTTAAATGAGTGAATATTATGTGAATTATACCTCAAAAAAGATTTTTTTTAAAAAACTGACCATCTATTTCTATATTGGGTCTTTCTTTTGGCATTAGAGAAGGTCAAAACTTTCTATAAACTTTTTAGAGAATGTCAACTAGCTTCTATAAAATAGTTCCTCTGCCATAGGAAAATAGTCCATGAATACATGAAAAGTCTGTAGGAAAACAGTCCATGAATAGTTCAAGACTGATTGGCAGCCCACTCGTGACTAGTTTTATATCCCTGATCTAATCATTTATATTGTCTGATGAAGCTGAACTAGGGTGCTGATAAGTAAAAGTAGAAATTCACCCTGGATAATTCCTTGCATTTGAGGCCTCTGCTTCTATAACAAAAATTAACTCAAATCAATTCCATGTGTAAAGATCTGTTCCCTATTTCATTAATTCTAAAAACTTCTGTACACTGAGGCTGCTTGGAGGAAATTTAGTTTTTCTATCCTATACACAGTTATCTCGATGCCCTATAGAATGAAACTAATGTCATACTAGCTACAAGTTACTAAGTGATAGGGCTGGTAAATATCATGGATCAACAGTTGTAGATCTTCATTTAAAAAGTGACCCTACACAATAAACTTCCTTTCAAAAAAAACAGAGGAAAGAAAAAAAAAGAAAACAAAGGGAGGAAAGGAAGTAGGAAGAAAAAGGAATATAAGAGAACTCATTTAGCCAACAGAATGAGAAGTGATTCTGTCGTCCTTCTTATCACCCAAATTATAATATGAATCATGCATACTGTAATCAGCTATGTCCCATGACACTAGTTTTATAATGTACACAGCAAAGTGACTTGAAAAGACAAAGGATACCTTCTGGAGGAGTCCCAATGCTGCTGCCAAGACCCAAAATAGCCATCTTGTGAACCCTTGGCTCCAGCATCACAGCAGATTCTTCTCCCCTTTCCCAGTGAGGTATTTTGACCGGCTCCAAGTGGACATTCTCCAGCCCATCTTCCTGCAGGTTCTGGTACATGATTTGGATGGCTTTTTCCAAGCTCTTGGAGCCGCTTGGTCGGGGTCCAACAGTATCAACCAGAAGTGCCAGTCGCTCATAAGATCTGTTCTGGGCTTTACCATAAACAGCAAGGTTGATGATTGCTTTAGCAACATCTTTATAGCGGGCTATTTCTTCTTTTATTTCTTGAAAAGTCCTCCGAGAGATGTCATTCTTATAGATCGCTTTCCCAGAGTTCAGGGAGAAAAGGTGAACAACACCAACAAATGTGAAAAGAAGGAACTTCATTGATTCTTCCAGGTGGTTTTCTTCCTAAAATAATCTGTATAAGAAAGAAACATGGTTTAGGGGGAAAGAATCTCACAGCCATATGCCATACCCCAGGCACAGCTTTTCAAACAGGAGTCCCTTCCCTTCTCCACCACTGCCCAATTCCACTATCAAATTCAGGCACCATAATTCCCAGGAATGAAGAAGCATAGGGAGGCAATGATTGGCTGAATAGGCAGTATTTATTTAAAACCACAGAATCACATGTTACCTAGTGATCCAGTTTAAAGTATGCTAAAAGGTTAAAATAAGACAACTAGGAAAGAGAAAGAAAAAATGTTAGCAGTGTGGTGGCAGTGATAGGGTTAAACCCATACTGTCTGCTGTCCCTCCCTCTTAACAGAATATGATCCAAATGGATTTTAGAGTTCCCTGTACCTGATAGGCTCTTTCTTCTCTGCCTACTGAACTCATCCAGTATGGCCCCAGCAAGTGTCATCTTTTCTTGGTGCCTTCCTTAATTCCACCTGCTACACATTTAATCCTCACAACAACTCTATGAGATAGTTTCTTCTTTTTTTTTTTTTTAATACTTTTTTTCAGTGTTCGAAGAGTCATTGTTTATGCACCACACCCAGTGCTCCATGCAATACATGCCCTCCTTAATATCCACCACCAGGTTCATCCAAACCCTCACCCTCCTCCCCTCCAAAACCCTCAGTTTGTTTCTCAGTGTTCACAGTCTCTCATGGCTTATCTCCCCATCTGATTTCCCCCAACTCACTTCTCCTCTCCTTAATACGAACTTTTGTTTTATAAATGAGGATTGTGGAGTAGCAAGCGATTAAGTGACTTGCCACAGACACACAAAGGATTTCTCACTCTGGAGTCCATGCTCTAAACAATGCTACTTAAAGTATGGTCTGAGGACCAAGGCCAGTCCACAGCTGGTTTTCACTACTCTATAATAGATACAGAAGTTAAGAGTAAACACATCCAGTGCTTTGCAACAAAGCAGCCAATAGCCTCATGTAGTTACTTCAATTTAAATTGAATTAAACCAAATAAAATGGTTATTTTAGCTATCCCCATTTCGAATGCTTAATAGCCACATGTGGCTAGTGGCTACCATATTGGGAAACACAGACATAACATTTCCATCACCACAAAAAGTTCTATTGGATAGCATTAATTTAGACATCTTTATAAACAACTGATGAAACAATTGTACATTTGTCAAATCTAATGATTAAAAAATGGTGCTTCTCCTTATATGTCTCTTTTATTTCATTTTTCTAATTCACTGCTTTTCTATTTTGCAAAAGTATCAGTCTGAAACAAATCTGAAATTTTAAAAACTGGCCTTTTACCAAGATAATTTGAGAATCACAGTCATAAGCTACTATATTATGGGATAAATTCCAAATTCAACCAGTATACAAGGACTTTCAAAATATGGCTTCAACAACTACAACCTCATCTTTCCATTTCCCCCTCTAGAGCAAACAAATGTTTTCATTCTCTTTTTTAAGTTTTGTTTTGTTTTGCTTTATTTTTTTTTTGTTTTGTTTTGAGAGGGAGAAGGAAGAGAAAGCACACAGGACAGGAGGAGAAAGACAATCTTAAGCAGGCTCCACACTCAGCACAGAGCCCAGCACAAGGACTGACTTCAGGACCCTGAGATCATGACCTGATCTGAAATCAAGAGCCAGATCTTAACCAACTGAGTCACCCAGGCCCCCTACAAATGTTTCCATTCTTTTTATCATTCTCTCTTTCTCCCTTCTCCTCTTCCTCGTTTTCTCTTTAACATTACACACATCTTAGGGAAGCTTGTAGATACTGTGGCTAGCCCAAATTGAGATGTTTTCTAAGTGTAAAGTACAGACCTGATTTAATCTTTGTAACTGAATACCTCATACTTATGTATGAAAAAAACAAATATTTTAGCTGTATTAGGCTAAATATATTATTATTCACCTGTTTTATATTTTAATATGAAATTTGACATTTTAAACTTACTTATTTATCTTTATATCAGACAGTAATACTCTAGCTACATTGAACTGGACACTGTCCTTCCAATACCCAGGCTCTATCATAACTCTGAATTTCTACATATTTTCCTTCCCTCTTCCTACAAGACCCTTCTCCTCACCCTACTCCTCTTCTTCTGGCAGATCTCCACTCACTCTTTAATGAAAATCCTTTAAAAATCACCTCTTCTGTGGAGTCTCACCAAACACCTCTCCAGAGTTATGTGCACCATTTTCCATGCTTCTACCATAATTAACAATATTATCAACTAATATATTTGTTGATGAATTTGTCTCTCCTATTCTTGAAGTCAAGCAGTCATCACTGTATCTTCAATCGTTCTACCCATGTGTAAACTCTCAGTACATTTTCATTTAAGGAATGAATTTCAGTACATTTTCATTTAAGGAATGAATGAGCCCTTAATCCCTGTAGATCTTAGAGTGCTTGTCTTGCCTCCTTTACAAAGAAACTGAAGGAATAAGAACTTGCTATCATATTTAAAATATTCTGAAAAATTATGAAAACTATATACTGATGTTGTTCTCCTTCTTATTATAACTATTTATATGCAAGGTTCTTGGTTTCTATAGTCACCATTACTGATGCTTGTTTTTAAAAGCTAAATTTTATTAAACCATGAAAATATTTCACCAGATTGCAATTTATTCTTTAAAGTACATTCTTTCAATGTGGTGTTGGTGCAAAAAAAGAAGAAAAAGTTAATAACACATCAAGTAGTTAACACTAACCACAAGTATCTACTTCTCATTAAAAATTCTTTAAGCATCCCTTAAATGTTAACTACTTCACAATACATTTCTAGTGATGGATTAGAATCATATAATGGCAATATTGTGGTACAGGAGAGCTTAGGGATTCCCAGGCCATACCCTTGTTTTGCAGAAACAGGACTTGTGCTGTGATTCCTAGGTAGCAGATAAACCAGCAAGTACAATCAAACACGTAACTGGACCAACTAGTGCAGACTTCCCGGAGGATCACAAATTGTTCTCTTATAGGAAACTGCATGCATTTACAAATAACAGAAATTCAATGAGGGACACCCAAATGCAGTCTGAGAAGCAAATAACTATAGCAAAAAATATGTACTCAAACAGTCTCATATATAGAGTAGCACCAGAACACAGAAAAGAACAAAAGAAATCATGAAAAGCTATATAGAAAGGACATGACATCTCAAGACAGACTCGAGTAATGGCCCCCTAGGCAGAGAAGAAAGGACCGCTTTCAGAGGGACCAATGGGACATCATCCCTAGGCTACAATCTGGTTAGAAGATATGTTTAGAAGATAAGGGCCTGCATCTAACACTTTTAGATCTTTTTGCATATATGTCAAGTTGAATCAATAGAAAACATGCCATTTTCATAATAATTCTTAATGCCTGTTAGCATGGTCAGTTAATTTAATTTTGACACTAAAAAATGATGTAATTACTTTAAAACATAAGCCAGTATCTGTGAGTGTTGTTCTTAATAACTTAACTATAGTTTATCTTCAATCCCACAAATGCAATAAATACTTATTTTTAAAAGTAGTTTAGGGACGCCTGGGTGGCTCAGTTGGTTAAGCAGCTGCCTTCGGCTCAGGTCATGATCCCAGCGTCCTGGGATCAAGTCCCACATCGGGCTCCTTGCTCATCAGGGAGCCTGCTTCTCCCTCTGCCTCTGCCTGCCATTCTGTCTGCCTGTGCTTGCTCTCTCTCCCTCTCTCTCTCTGACCAAAAAAAAAAAAAAAAATATATATATATATATATATATATTAAAAGTAGTTTAACTTAAAAGATGATAGATTTTTTTAATCTTTCAATAGATCAGTTTTTCTCTGAATGTAATATTAGTACTTTAGAAAGTTTACTAAGATCAAAGGTAGAGAACTACGTGAGGAATTACCTGAAACACTTGACATGAGTAAACACTAAACAAATATTCGTTGATTCTAAACCTGGTTTTCCCTAGAACATAATCTGAAAATTACTGATGCAATTCTTGGCTAAAATGCATAATTATATATCTCTCCGATGACACACTGCAAGAATCTTTTATTATAATTGTTTTTAAGGAGGCACATTAGCCCAACTAAGATATGTTTTCATTAATAAATAGTAGAAAATAATAATTATTACTAACAGTGGTAAATAGCTGGAGATGTAACAAAAATGGAAGAAAATATTCCACTTATGAAAAACACCGTAAATAATAGGCAATTTATAATATGTAATTTAAAAAATAATGCAACCCAATATATAATTATATACTCCTAGCAAGAAATAGAGATCTATAATAAAAATTAAAATAGTAAAATATAGAGACAGAATAAAGCCAAATAAAGGCCAATATAATCAAGGACAGTTTGAGGAAATATTCTCCTAATTCACACATTTAGGGTCACCATACACCAAAAAATTCATTCTGGACTTAGAGTCAATTCAAATGAGAAGAATAACCAAGGCACCAGTTTATCTGCCAAAAAAAAAAAAAAAAAAAAGAAATCAAGAAGGGTTTTGATGACACAAACACAGATTTACGTACCATATCTTTCCATATTAGTACTAGGGAATAGTCCTAGTAGCTCACAGCTAATTCTAGGAAAATCAAAATGTACCATTTTTCACAATGAGTGATAAACATGTGAATAGCTCCCCAACAAAAGAAAGAATTTGATAAAATCATGAATGATGCAATCACTGGAAGTCATTTTAATCTACCACAAAGCACTGGCTCCACACCCACCCAAGGAAAGTTCCCTAGGGGATCACTAGGAGGATCTGCTGATCTGAAAGACTTTAGTCTGCCCTGGATCAGAAATACAAATATATCCCTATACCATCATTTCAGTGAAATAAAACTAAACAAGTTTTAGTAGTACTTTTTTTTAGTAGTCTGCAAATGGAGAAAAGAATTCTATGGTGATCAACAACGACAAGTAGTACTACTCATTTCAAACATTTCCTCTTTATGAACCATAAACAGTGTTCTGTTTTGGTTGTAAC